TGGATTTCCTCTTTCATCGTTCAGTCGCGCAGAAAGCTGGTGGCTGTCTCGGGATGACGAGCATCAGTCACTGTCAAACAAACGCCCTGAGACGGCAGAAAACAGACAGACGTGTCCTCCGCTGTAAAGACGTGTTAACACATCCACTCACAGAAATCTGTCCTCGGTGTGAGACCCGGTCTGATGCAGCTGCGGTCGGGGCTCAGCGGGATAAAGCAAAGGTCTAGTGTTGAGGGTAATGAGTGCTGTCAGGTCGCCATCTATCAGCCGCTCGCCCGCCGAGAGTCCATCAGCTGCTGCTGTCGCGTCACAGCGGGTCCACAATCAGGTCCAGATCACTTCAGCTTTTGTCCCACTGAGACCTCCACCTTATTTCCCCCCCCCCCCTTAAACTGCTGCCTCTTCAGATGTCACACTGTAAACATGTATAACTGCTGGTGCATTCAGACTTTAAAAAAAATCTATTCTCCTCACAATTTACGTTCTGGGCAAAGACACACAGTCTGTACCGTCAATACAGCTGATAAAATGTGTGCCCAAGCAAAACATCTTCACTCTGCAGCGTGGATCTCGTTAGAACTTCAGCACTAATGAGGAGAAACCTGCCTTATTGTCCAGGAACATTACCCATAGGATGAGTGTTTTTAAACCTGGAAACAGAAATGAACGTCAGAGGTCGTACAATCAACACTGAAGTCAAGATCTGCCCTGAGCTCTAACCCACCAAATCACAACCCACCCTAGAGAGTGAGATTACAGATAACTTAAAATAAGTCAATATGTGAAATAAAGCACAAGTTGTATCTCTTGCTTTCAAAATGCCAAAGCGCTTTAAACCTGTATTCTTTCTAATGTCCAGCAGGGGGCATTTACACTGGTTTGAAAAAATAAATCTTATTTTGCAAAAACCTACAGTTCCTCAAGGGTCCACTAGAGGCAGGTTTCAGAAGCACCAAACGTCACATACACACCCATTAGGGAAATGTCAGTTTATACAGCAGAAATTAAAATGTTTACAGCCTGAAAAAAAGAAATGGTCTGATTAGCTCATGTCTCGTCCTGGCACACTGTAAGGGAGGTGGATTCTTTTTATAACTCATCCATTTTGATTTTATGAAGGATAAACTTTATTCACAATAAGGCACGTAGCTGTTCTGTCTGACATGTGTAGCCTCAGCTCCGGTCTACTTGGTGTTCGGCTGACTGACTGAAGTTAGTTTGAGACAGAATTACCAACATGGTGAACGCCATTGATGGCTGACGTCAGTGAGGTTGCTCTAAAACGGCAGATAAGGATTTTAAGGTTTGTGGTAGCTCTTCTTAAAATAAACATTCATGGCGCATCGACGGCTAAATTAAAAGGAGCTTTTTTTGATCAATCCTTACACTTAACAAGAGCCTCATTTTTTCTTCCCAGTGATTTTTTTAAAGCTGTTGATTGCACTGTTGTAAGGATGGAGGAGTGTGTATGTGTGTGTGTGTCTCGTTCTCAGATCAGCGGGCTGTCCAATTAAGCCACTAATTAAAATTGCAGTCCTCCAGTGGAGGCAGGGACTCCTTCAGGAGGCAGCAGCGGGGCACAAGTTTGATTTCTCTCTGTGATTTATTGAACTGCACATTAGAGCTGTGTGTGACTCCAGCTGCTTTCACAGCCCCCATCTCAGTTATTTTTGTTATTATGATGATGATTACTGTGATAACTTGAGCATGAAGGTTTTCTTACAGTTACACCTACAGAAGCCCTCAGCGACAACACACAATCTTAACCTATTTAAAAAACTTCTGAGACCTCAGACAGGAGGACGGTTTCAACCGACTTTAACATTATTATCCTCTGAACGGACGCACACAGTAGACGAAGGATTAACCAGACCGCCAGGCCGCACACCTGCTGTTTGCAGTAACGATTTCACAGACACAATATCTCACAAACCCGTGTGATCAAACATGACTTCAGAAGAAAAACAAATATGGAGGACGATCAGCGTTGTCAGCTGGCTCTCCTGTTGTGTTCTGCTATGCAGTGAAAAAACAGAAAGTAAGAACAACAATAAGGACAGGATCCTGGCTGAGAAGAAGGATTATGTGCGACCTTATACAGTTTGAGGGTGAGTTGTCAGAGAACACAACATCTGATTGGTGAGTCTTTAAGTCTGCTTTAAGTCTGCATTGGCTGCTGTGTGTATTCCCTTGGAAGCAGTCCGACCTGGTATCGTAAATATCAAAGATACTGGGGAGGCTCCGACTCGATTGGGAGCAGTAAAATAATCGATGTGACACCACACACTTGAGGAATATTTGGACAAATAATCGGTTGCGTCAAGCCAGGAGTCGGACCACGCCCCCCCCCGACTGTCAAAGGGTGCAAATCAAGCCTAAAATGACCTAGTGTGTAGCCAGCTTAAGTCATAAAGACACGATTAAGTAGAGAAAACAATCTAGAAAAGACACTTGCCTCTCAGGGCTTCCATACAAATCAAAAGTGTAATTATTATTATAGTTATTTTCTTCTGTTCTGATGCTTCAGTATATCACACTGCAGGAAAGATGTCTTGTTGGTCGACTTCCTCTGTCTTTTTCTTTCCAGGAGTAGACTCTCAGTTCGACCTATCGAAGTTGTGTTAGAAAGTGCATGTTCACTCCAAGCGGAAACCTCCGGTGTTGAAAAATGAAGCCGATGCTGAAGTGCAAAATCCTGCAGTTCGTCGAGTTTGTCCGTGCTGTAAATAAAGGTCAACATGCAGTGACCTTTTGGGCTGAAACATGAAAAACAGCAGAATGGCCCTTTGAATTCAGGAGCAGAGTGTGTTTTAATGGAGCCCCCGCTGACTGAGCCTCAATAAGTGATGCCGCTGTGTATTCATCCCACAATGCATCATTAATGCTAATGGAGGCTCTCCACTATATCTTCATGCAGCGGCTGCTTTAATAAACCCTGTGTGTGTGTGTGTGTGTGTGTGTGTGTGTGTGTGTGTGTGTGTGTGTGTGTGTGTGTGTGTGTGTGTGTGTGTGTGTGTGTGTGTGTGTGTGTGTGTGTGTGTAGGTAGGTAGGTAGGTAGGTAGGTAGGTGTGTTTGTGTGTTTGTGTGTGTAGGTGTGTAGGTGTGTAGGTGTGTTTGTTTTATGTACCAACAGGTGAAATAAATCAGAAGTCCGTGGCACACAGAAAATAGCTTTACTATATTTCATTGTGCTGCTTATGAAAAATGGAGAGCGGTTAGAACAATGAGCCTCCGGATCCCCGGCTGTAACAGATGGCTGACGTCAACATTTACAGTCTACGGTTGGATCAGAAAGTGTTGATGAGTCTCTCTGGAGAGCATTACAGAAAATATAAACTTTGCAGTTCTATTCGGGAGATGTTGTTGCTCTCTCTAAAACCCCAAAGTAATCAGGCAGGCAGCGCTCAGACACTCAGGACACTTTAAAGACTGTGATGATGTGTGTTTAAAGAAGTCCGTAAAGCTGTGTTGTTTGTGCTCAGTTGTGTAGAAAACAAAGCGGAGCTCCTCTCTGACGGTTAAACCTGCAGCGCTGCGATAGCGTCAGCGTCAGCTCTCGGACAGGTTTGTATTTACAGTAAAGCCCTGTAATTTGCAGCCTGTCGATCTGACTGACATGTACTGCCGTCAGACCCCGCGCCGTCCGTCTTCCTCCGTCCTCCTGCTCCTCCTCTGTGAATCCTGATGAGGCGTCCGGCGGCGATCGGCCCGACACACCGGCCTTTGACTGAAGTGAAATCAATCAGGCCATCAACGTGTCTCTAAAGGACCATTATCCAGCTCGGCTGGGTCTGTCGGGCCTGTCTGTCTGCTGCAGGATCTATGACCTGATCCGCCTCTCTAATTCACACAGCACAGATCGCTAACTCAACTCTGACAAGAAACCCAACAACAGGAAGCAGAGGAAGGTCAGGATTTAAGGTCCAGACTGGAGCAGTTTAAATCTCAACAAATATACAGCCTGATGTTTGATCTTAAATCTGCTCCATCAGCTGCTGGTCAGGTTTTTATGTCCGCCTGCCTTCTACTGCCTTCAACTTTAACGTCTTTAAGAAAAGAAACAAGACAAAATGACAACAATTAATTTCAGTCAGTCAAAAAAGAGAGAGTGTTAATTTGCTTATCAAAAGTTAAATCAGAGTGTGATGAGCTGAGGTTGTGGCTGGTTGGGGGATATCATGTGTGAACTTGCTAACGTTTGCCTGAGTAATAATCAACAGAAGATGATTGAGACTGAATTCTAAATAAATCTGAATTTTGATTTGAAAAAAATCTTTTCTGTTTAAAAGATAAATAAATTCAAAGTGTGTTCAAACGATAAGATGTTAAATGTCAGTTCAATCAGGAGAGACTGAATAAAGAAGGAGTGAATAACGACTGTTATTTATTATAATAGGTAACATGGAAACGAGTCTTAACATAAGGTCTTTGGCGCTTGGACTCTATGGGGTGGTTTATGCGTTTGGAACTTGTCGATTATGATCAGCAACAGAATAAATCCCCCCCCATGGAGTCCAGATCATGGTGGTGTTGGTGAAGCTGCTGACTTGTTGAGATCGCATGTGTGAAGAATTGATGAATGATGAATCCACAAAGACGGGCGGTGGAGGGGCAAACGAAACATAAGAACAAGGCAGAGAAAGAACTGTATTTAAAAGAGGGAGCAGAGTGAGGATAAGCTGACAGTGAGGGAGGAACGTCAGGTGATTGGTTATGTGGGATGATCATCCAATGACAGCCCCAGAAAATGACAGCAGAGAGACTGACAGCAGAAATGTGAGTGAGAGGGATGAATGAGAGATAGACCTCATAACTGAACTCACTATGTTAACAGTGGCCAAGAAGAGACTGAACATAATCGCTTTTGTTTTCCACACACAAATTAACCCTGTGTTCTTAAAGATATGGATTGCAATTTGTTGCTGTTGTTGTAAGTTTGACTTGAAAAATCTGGTCTGGTCTGAAATGTCCCCCCCCCCTTCCCCCTGTGTCTCCACAGATTCCTCAGATCAGCTACGCCTCCACGGCCCCGGAGCTCAGCGACAACACGCGCTACGACTTCTTCTCCCGCGTGGTTCCTCCGGACTCCTACCAGGCTCAGGCTATGCTGGACATCGTCACGGCGATGGGCTGGAACTACGTGTCCACGCTGGCCTCCGAAGGAAACTACGGAGAGAGCGGCGTCGAGGCCTTCGTCCAGATCTCCAGAGAGACGGGTAGGAAACCCCATGCGGATGAAAGTCAAATCGACAAAGTTTGTCTCGTTATGGAGGTCAGAGGAGAGGAGCAGCTGATGGCGTGCGTTTAAGCTGCAGGTTGTCACAGCGGCTGTCGTCAGGCTCGCCGCCCGTTGATGAGTGAACAGGAGGAGAGGTCGTGTAATTGACTCTGGATATAATTAAAGCAGAAAGTCGACGCTGTTTTCTCCTCGGCCGGTCACTGTGAGGCAATCAGTCCTCGCTCGCGCTGATTAAAATGTTATCGCTCCCAGACGAGCTCCGACATTAATTAGATTGTAAGAGCCGTGTTGAAATTCATCAGCGGAAACAGATATATGTAGGAGAGCAGTGTGTGTGTCTGTGTGTTTGTGTGTGTGTGTGTGTGTGTGTGTGTGTGTGTGTGTGTGTGTGTGTGTGTGTGTGTGTGTGTGTGTGTGGGGGGGGGTGGTGGTTGAGTTCAGGTTCAGTCGTTCTTCTTGTCTCTCGTTCTCCTTGTACCATGATAAGTTACTCCTGGAGAACAATAGAGGATTTTCAATTTTGAGACGGTTTTAAAAACATAGCACACGACACAAGGCAACAATTTGATTTTAGATTTGAAATACAGTAATAAAGACAACACACCAGATAACTCAGTGAAGACCAAGCAGCAACCTCAGGTGTTTGAAATGAAGCCAATGTGGAAGTGTAAAATCCTGCAGTTCTTCAAGTGTCCACTAGAGGCTGGCTGCAGAAGCACCGGAAGTCACATACACAATTCACACCACAGGCAAAAAAGCCGTTTTTACAGCAAAAATGAACATGTTTACAACCTGGTACAAAACACAAAATAGGTCTGATTAGTATTTGATTTTGAAAGCAATACCTGTTAGTTTCAAAGTTAGGCGCGTAGCTGACATGATTGGCAGGTGGGCGCGATGTAATGGTTCATCAAGAGGCTTAAAACCCGCTTCAGTTCCAGCTCTCAGCCTGTCGTTAGGTTGACTGAAAGTTAGACTGAGACAGCATTTCCAACATGGCGGCTGCTGCAGATGAGCCTCCAGAGCCCCCTGCAGGAACAGATTGATGACATCACCCAGACTTCATCCATTTATTGAATTTATGAAAAACCCTTCAAGTTTAATTGAAAAATGAACTAGTAATAGAAAGAATACACATTAGCTACTTAGACAGGATGCTTTGTGAACCAGTAAACATTTTTATTCCTGCTGTAGAAACAAACATTTTAAAAATGGGACCTAATGAGGATTCCTCAGCTTTTGCAGCAGGCCTCTAGTGGACACTCAAGGAACTGCAATTTTTTTACACAAAAAAATTTAGCTTCATTGTCAAGTCTGAGGTTGTAACTGGAAAACAACATCAACCGAATATTAAACCATCAGTATGAGGGCATCTCACAGGACAGTCTACAAGTCAGCACATGGAAAAAACACAAAATGCACACATTTTCTACTTTGCAAATAATAGATTTTTAGATCGTAGTTTTGCATATCCCCATTGATCTTGAAGTCATCTTTAAGAGTAGCTTTCTTTTTAATATGAAACTCTGCAAACTCGCCTTAAAGTTGACACAAAATGTGTCTTTAGAGGAGGGAGGGCAGTATTTACATTTCAGTACATTTCAGAGGTAAGACTTAATCAGACCTACACATGTTTTTTTTAGCATCACTGTGTTGATATGTCTGATCACTAATGAGCAACATGTAGCATCTCATGTGACTCCTCTGACTTAATTTATAAACACAGAAACCGTTTCTTTAGTTATGATGCTGGATGTCCAAAACTCCCCCAATAACATCACAAAAAATGTGAAAAAACATTTTAACAGTTTAACCCAGTATGTTGGCGGTGAAATGTTTAACGTCTACATGTTTACCTGTGCATGTGACAGTGCGTAAATGGCGGCAGCAGCAGTAATCATGAAGAATGGCTGCGATCGCCGCGTTAAACGCGTCAGATTAATAAGGAGACGCTGTGCAGAGAGCAGCTGGGGCTCCTCAGTGGGATCAATGAGCTTTCATCTCCGCTGCGGCTGTTGTCTGCACACACATAGAGGAAAACACACACACACACACACACACACACACACACACACACACACACACACACACACACACACACACACACACGCACACACACACAGACTGCTGCACACATGGAAAAGGCTCATTAGCAGCCTGAATATGTATTTATATCAACAGGAATGAGGTCTGACGTTGTGGAATCTCTCGTCGGCTGCACGGCTCACCGAGTAAAAAACTCAGCGATCAGAGGAAGTATTGATCAGAGCTGAAGGCTGATTAGCTTTAATGAATGTGTGTTTGGAAAGAACTTCTTAACGAATAAACTGTTTCCTGGATGTAATGATCTTCTCTTAATTATTGAACCCAACAGAAGGTGATCTATGAATGTTATTTATTACTAACTGTAGTAAGAGACGTGTTGAAAATGTTGAGCTGTTGCTGTAAAACGGCTCTTTGTGTTGCAGTAATAACGAGATTTAAATGTCTTTAACTTAAACACACTTTACACCTCAAAGTGTGATGCCAGGTGTAAGTGGAGTTTCTGCCACGTGTAGAAGTCAGTAGCCCTGTTCAGACGATTGTTTCAAGCCTCGAGATTTCAGCTCCTGTGACGTTTGGCCTTCAATCTGAAAGTTGTGGACGCATAATGGAGGGACGAAGTGACCCCGCCTCTGCACCGTCTTCAGAGGTAGTAACAGAGGCGAGACGGTATCAGCGGAGCAAGCGGGGTGGGGGGGGTGGGGGGTGGGGGGTTTCAAATAAAGAAAGAGGACCCAGATACAGACAATGACATTAATAAAGAGAAAGGCAACAAACAGCTCGCTGAATAGATATCCAAAGGAAAGTGACAGTCAACACTCTGAGTGGGGTTAAAGTAAGACGATGAAACAAAGACTTACAAGACATACTGTAGATAGAACCATGCAGTAGACTAAGGGAGGATCACACAGTGACAATATCAGGAAAACACACAAAGAAAAGGGCTCAACACCGGGCCTAAACTCGTCCAGGGTTTACAGGATAGCTAGCCTATGTCAGCAGCTGTTGGAGATGAAGACTGAAGTTTGAAAATCAAACTAATGTGGCTAATGTGTTGAAAGAACATTAGCCAGAGCTCGGAAGCCCGCTGCTAATCTCTGCTGCAGGAAGTCCAGGCTACGTTAGCTGCTACGAGAATCACACACCTGGATATTTGGAAAAGACTTAAAATGGATTGTGGGGTAATGTAGCCAGCCTGTAACAAGAAACAAGAATATCTCAGAATATAGAGGACTATGTTACCGGGTCTATGCGTTGATTGGGTTCGATTTCTAGCTAAAAAGCAGTGAGTCAGAGTTTACCAAAATGCTAAATCTGTTCAGTTATCTTTTAAGTGCTGTGCAGCTTTTGTGAGTGTCAGTTTAATTGCAAGAAGAGGTTTTAAGCAGAACTGCAGATCCTGGAAGTATGCTTTTAGGATAAAAGAGTATCCTAAAAGCATACTTCCAGGATCTGCAGTTCTGCTTTGCCACCTCTGAGTTTACCACCTCTTGGCAATGCCTGGAAGAAGGCATTATGGCAGGATGCACCATCTCACTTCACAATGGCAATAGAGGTTATCATCCGTGCCTCAAAGTGGGTGGTTGGTGGACGCCTCACCTCAGACCTGCGTCTCCCTCCTCTCAGAGCTTTTATGGATGACATCACTACTCTGACTTCCACCGCCCCGTGCACTAGGAGGCTGCTTGGAAAACTGCAGGAAAATATCATCTGGGCTCGCATAAAGATAAAACCATCTAAATCACGCAGCATTTCTATTGTCAAGGGAGTACTGTCTGACATTAGATCCTTCATTAGGGAAGACCCAATCCCAACAGTATCCGAGAAGCCTGTCAAAAGTCTGGGAAGTTGGTATGATGCATGCCTGAAAGATAAAGACCAGATACAACAACTGCAGAACGATATTGGTAGTGGTCTACGGGCTATTGATAACACCCAGCTGCCTAGAAGGTTAAAGACCTGGTGCTTACAGTTTGGCCTATTTCCTCGGATCCTGTGGCTCCTTACAATCTATGAGGTCCCAACCTCAACAGTGGAGAAGCTGGAAAGAGGGGTCACAGGTTACATCAGGAAGTGGCTAGTCACACGCTGCCTCACTTCCATAGGCCTCTATGGAGATTTTGCCCTTAAACTACCCTTTGCCAGTCTCACAGAGGAGTTCAAGTGCGACTTCAAGTGAGACTTCAGTTGACACTGAATGAATCCCGAGACGCAGTGGTGAGGAAAAATGCACAGACCCTGGCAGCAGGCTGCAAATGGAGACCAGCCAGAGCAGTGGAGGAGGCAACAGCTGCCCTTAGACATGCAGACATTGTGGGGCATGTTCAGCAAGGAAGAGGAGGCCTTGGGTTGACAGCTAGTCGCCCAACTTGGAACAGAGCCACAGCTCCAGAAAAGAGGAAGATGGTGGTGGAGGAAGTACGCCACCAAGAGGAAGTGACAAGGTGGGCCAAGGCAGTCTCCCTTGGCCAACAGGGACAGTGTAGAGAGGAGGAAGATCAGCTGGAAGGACCTTTGGGACATGGAGGCAAACCGACTAAGCTTTATCATTAGAGCTACGTACAACGTCCTTCCAACACCGGTTAATCTTCAGCAGCGGGTGGGTGAAGATCCAGGCTGGGTCCTCTGCTCCAGGCCAGCCTCCCTCAAACACATACTTACAGGGTGTAAAGTCAGCCTCACCCAGGGACGTTATACCTGGCGTCACAATAATGTCCTTAAATGCCTTGCCTCCGCCCTGAAAGCAAACAAGCATCCACCAACTCCGCACCACCATCAGACACTAACACCCTGCAAACTACCATCTTTGTCCGTGAGGGGGCCAAAGGAACCAGGAGCAGACCCACTCCTCCGGAAAGTGGCCAGCTTCGTTTAGCCCATGACTGGAAGATGCTAGTTGATGTTGGTCGTCGGCTCGTATTTCCCCCCAAGATC